ATTCCTTTTTGGAAAAGGCACAATCACTGTTAATTATTGGGTGTAAAATCAAAAAATTGAAGTATGTCATAACATTCTAGAAATTTTATTTTGGACTTTGTGTCCAATGAATTATACCAACTATATCAAAGTACAAAATCTTATTCTATCTATTTTCCTTACATAATTACTTGTCTAGGGGCTCATTGTTGTGGAAAATTATGACATGTTCAGCTGAACTTATGGGAATATTGTGCTATGTGTTTTTAAATTTGAGCATGGATGTTCGCTACCAATTGCCACACAATACTACAGTTTTATGCAAAAATCAAATTTTTAGTTTTTTATCACACAATTTATTGCATTGTAAATAGTGCTTTAGTGCTTTGGAGTTTTATCACCGTGTCCCTTGGGTGTGGTTTGCATAAGGTTGTAATTTTAAATAATCAAATTAAGATGCACCTCCAAATTTTGTCATGAGATATAATTTTGGTATCAAAAGTTTTTAGGATTGTGCGAGAAATTCATTTATATCTCTAATTATAAAATTTTAACTTCAAAAGTAGTTCAAATCAAGCTGATTTATAAACACATGAATTGAAAATGGACGGTCTAGATAATGTGTTGCAAGATTCACTATTTTTCTCTATATCTGTATATCTTGATGTCGAGATGATCAATAATAGATGTTTTTCCAACATAAAAAACAACCTTCTTCTAAGGATTTTAGAGGTGCACTTAATTCTACACTAAAGGTGTCGTCGACTTTATATGAACCTTTCTCTTTCCTATTTTATGACGTCCGTGTATGAAAATAATGGTGGCTGGTATTGATATAAAATCCATTTATATTGACATTACATACAATATATAAGATAAATGGCAGCTTAACCGCGTGGCAAAAGTGGAAAATAAGGATAAAAGAGCATATACAAAGCTTCACATGAAAGGCTGAAATGTTTAAGCCTCTGAAACAACCAGCAAACCATGCTGCTCTTCTTCGATTCGTCTTACTTGCTGGTAATGGCGAAGAGTTACCAGACATAAGAATGCTGCAAAGCACAAAAAACTTGACTTAGACTGACAAATATATGGACCCAATCCATAATGCTGCACCGAACAATTCTGAACCATAAAAATCTGTGTTTCATTTGTTTGGGCAACCTTAATTGAAGTTGAAATCTTGCTGAATAGCTAGACGTTCTGTTTTGAAACTGGTTTATGTGGCAGTATTTCACATTAAGTTCAACAACAATTTAAATTGTTGAGTCCATTTGGTTGGGCAACTAGGCCTCTTGGCCTGTGGCTGAGGTGAGTTCCAAGGGACAACTTGCCCTTGGAATGCATTATTATTATTATTTTTCTTTGGAAAAATTCCTCATTATATTTTTATATGATTTATATGGTTTTTATGATAATTTGGGAACTTTTCTTATTACATGCTCCAATTGTTTTTTCTTTTTATTGGTTTTTCTAAAATATTTCAGGGTATAAAGAAACATTGGCAATAATCCATCTTTCATGTAGTTTTTTGGACTTTTATCGACTTAAAAGATTCCTATTACTTATTTTATTTTTTTTGCTACTTTTTATTTTAATAAATCTTTTACATTTTTTTTGACTTTTCAACATTAATTTGTCCTGTATAGGACTCTGACTGGGCCTACTTACTTGGCTGGGGCCAGGGCTGAGTCCGAGGCTGGAACCGAGTTTACAAAACATTGATTTAAATTCTCCTGAAGGATTTTACTCACAAAATTTCAAGTTTACATATGATTGTCTGGACTCTAGACCAAGTTCAAAAGTAATAGATTGGAACCTGCAAATGCTCGTGTCTTTACTGTGGACAAATTCCAAAATACTGTAGCTACTGATGCAACTACAATCTTCTTATGAGAGCAAGCTGACCAAGCCTCCAAAAACCACTTCCCCGTGCATTTAACTACACCAATCAGAATTCAATGTTAACAAATTCATATAACCTGTAATGTTTTACTAACCTAGGATGTTAGTTATCAACCACACAAGTAAATTTCAGTAAACGTGGGTTGCGAAAATGTCTCTACCTTGTCTCTGTATCTGATCTGAATATGAAGAGTAGAGTTTTGGGACTGTAAAGCTGACAAGAAATCCTGCATATGAATGTGGTAATAAGAAGATTCAAGATTCTGTTTTTCTTTTTTTTGTTGAATGAAAGAAACCTCAGTTAAGATACACATATGCAAGGATTACCACCATTCTTACCAGCTGCAGCCAACCTCCATATGCTTAGCAGGGGCCCAAATTCAGCTGCTAGAAGAAGAAGGGGAGCCATCTGATAGAGACATCAAACACCCATTTTCCAAATTATGAACCAATTAATAATCTACTATCTGAGAGAGAGAGAGAGAGAGAGAGAGAGAGAGAGAGAGTACGTACTACGTAAGTACGTACTACGTACGGACGGTCGTACCGACGAAGGTAAAGTTAAACGTTCGTTACGTTTAGTTTACGGACGTAGTCGTCTTCTACGT